CAGTAGTGCAGGTGCAGGGTGAATGAGTGATTGTTACTCGCTCACCAGTAGTGCAGGTGCAGGGTGAATGAGTGATTGTTAGTCGCTCACCAGTAATGCAGGTGCAGGGTGAATGAGTGATTGTTACTCGCTCACCAGTAGTGCAGGTGCAGGGTGAATGAGTGATTGTTACTCGCTCACCAGTAGTGCAGGTGCAGGGTGAATGAGTGATTGTTACTCGCTCACCAGTAGTGCAGGCGCTTCGTGCCGGACGCGTCGAGGTAGCCCGAGTAGTGGCGGAAGGCCGGCTGCTTGGCCAGGCCGGGCAGGTAGGAGATCTCATCCTCCACAGGCGCCGCCAGCACCAGCACGCCCGCACCCCCCAGCAGGAGCAGCAGTAGCAGCATCGTCATCGCCTTGGCAGCTGAGCACCAGTGTCACCCTGCGGGCAGTTTCACAGATTCGCGGGCACGCTTACAGCAGCAGGAGCTATAACCCTTCTCTAGCAGTTCCTATACAAATATCGTAGAGCCTTTGATAGACATTTTAAGGCATGGTCTGTTTGCGAGCACCTTTAAGGGCCGACACGGCACAATGGGGGGGGGGGGGGTAGCAAACCTCACACCCAGCCTCCTTTGTCTCCCCAGTGCTGATGTGAACACGCTGCACCAGGTACGTACTCATTTAAGGCTGAGTCGACCTCGAGGAGGGCTGGGTCTGGTTCAGATATTGGTCAGCTATAATGGCTGTGATCGAGAATCAAACTCGGACGACCGGGTTTGTAGCAGAGACCACTGCGCCACCGATCCCCATGTGCGTGACTCCACGCACGGAATGGGGACCTTGTAACAGACCGACCCGCGTCGACTGCATGATGCATCTCTCGGGGTTCGCACATCGAAGCTGCACACACAGAGCTGCACTCTGTACCAGGCGCACGATGAGGGTCACACGCAGCGCGAGAAGACAATGGGTAGAGTGTAGCAGCAAGAGAGGCGAAAGACGACAGAGCGAGGGCGGGAAATCAGAGAGAGTGGGGAGAGGGGACAGCGGTGGAACACGCGGACAGATGCCGGAAGCTGCGCCGCAACCCGCACGGGACTTTCCGAAGCATCGCGACTTCCTCTTCGTGTGTGCAAAATATCAAGGGCGACATTCACACCACGATACACACTGCACACAGCACTACGAGACCCACACAACACACACCACCACCATACAACACTGCAACACCACACAACGCTATGAGACCCACACAATACACACCCCCACACGCCACACACCGCGACAAAGCTCCCCACTATAGCCATAACAGACTGCTGGAGTAAGTGCAGTTAGCCAGCATCCATGAAGGCCGGTCCGGCCACCACCATGCCCGGCGAAGACAGCAGCAGGGGGTGGAGAGTGAAGACACAGGGAGGTGAAGACACCGGCGAGTCTCCCCGAGTCGCCAGTACAACACGAGTCGTGGCGGCCTGCCTCACAACAGACCCAACCCTACCCCAGCGACTTCAATCTCTTCAGCGGCTTCCTGCTGATTGATCCCCCCACGTGTCGCTGCTACCAGTCGCTTCCTGTTTTCGTCACGTGCACATCGAGTCACGCGGTCGGCGCGCGCCACGTGACTTCAAGGTCACCACCAGCTGCGATGTCAAACACGTGTCAATAACACAGCTGAAGTCCCTTAAAACATTTAGAATAGGCGACGTTTCGGGCAATGGCCCTTCACAGCACATCGAGGCCAGAGATGTAGAGTAAACTGTTAAGGTTAGTGTTATTAACAGTTCTGATATGCGGGTGCAAACGAAGACACGTGGACAACACGTGGGGTTGATGGAAAGCATCAAAGGCCATGCTCGCCCCGGGTCACGTGTGACTTGTATGGCACTTTTACTTCGTAATAAGGGGCCATCCATTTAGTACGTACGCATGGAGGGGGTTAACCCAAATGCGTACGCTTGCGTATAGGGGTCTACTGACAATGTACGCATAGGAAACGGGGGGGGGGGGAGTGAAGCTTCGATAATAATTTGTCTACAGTGGCCTTCAAATGAGTTAGATAGTACAGCGGTGAACTATGTTTGCTTAAACACGTTAATATTATTAATCCTTGATCGTTTCTGCGTCGATAAAATATCGGCCGTTATATAGGATTCGAGGGTGGGGGGACAGGTGCGTCAAGCGTACGTACGCAGGTGGGGGGGAGATGTAAAAAATACGTGTGCGTACAGGGAGGGGGGAGGGGTCAAGTTTTGACATTTGCGTACCTACTAAATGGATGGCCCCTAATAGGCGCTTCCGAACAGCACTCGCCCCAACAGTTTGTATGGGCGATATGGGAGATCTTTGTGGTTCTATAGATGCTCGCTTGTTAGTCATCATTACACGCTCCTTTGTCCAGCTTACGGTTCAGCAATCGTGAAACCCATCAAAGGGGTGAAAGGCGTGCGGTAATAATGAATGCCTTTAACCCGCCATTCAAGTGGCCGGCAAAGGCCGACAGTAAAATCACATGGACACACTGAAGCGGTTGTGCTTTCGCTGCGTTGTCTCCACCTGAGGACGGACGCTTGTGTTGCGCCCGAAAAGTCGTAAGTTAATTTAGTTGTCATTCATTTGTTTTTTTTACCTACGTGACTTTACCGAAAAAAAACAAAGAGTATGATTCCTTGCAGTCACGAAAACTTCAAATCTAGAATTAAAATCATCTGGTTTCTTTTTTTTATTAAAGGCAGATGGAGACGCAATCGCGTGAGCTTGGAGGTGCCCTGAGAGAATGAGTTGACAGACCACGTTTTAGATGACAGACCACGCATTTATAACAGAAACAAATCATTAGCTTCGTTGTGGAGAATATAAATATCAACATAAATAAGCTGACAATATGCCTACTTCGCAAAGGTCATTCTACATTTAAAAAAATAACTCGTCCCATCGGCCGCACGATCCTCTGTTAATGCATCATTTCCACAGTATTGGTTCAACACCGATCTATGGGCCGGTTTTGACATGTAGTGTCTCATCAGCAGGGCCAGGCTTGCTTGAACCAATGCAGGTGAACTGCCAGAGGACCGGGAACTAAACAGACAGGGTCCTTTGCCCATGATCCACTGCTTGGAGAACATACGCTGGTAAAAGACAACTGTAACTGTTAAGAAACGCAAGTGAACTTGAGCAGTACACGTCCCTGTAAGGGATGACGACTATACGGTCAACAATAATGACAGAGTGGCAGCCAAGGGATGGAACACATCCGAGAGAGGGATAATGCCCACGAAGGAGATGGAGCAATTCAATTGTGTGCAAGGGGCTCGGTGGATTGGTGCGTCGGAGGATCGTGAGGGATGGTGACATTTTGGGGAGTCCTTTTGTCCAGCAGTGGATTGAACATTACTGACGACAACGACGATGATGATGATGACAAATGTGAAGATTTATGCAAGCATAGCACAGTACAGCATTTTCCAAGCGTAGTATACGTTAATATTAGTGTAGAGCAGAGATGTACGCAGTGCGCGCAGTTGAGCGGGTGCAATTGAGGACGAGCAGGTGTGCGTGTTGGAGCATGAGGTTGGCGCAGGAGGGCCGGCAGTAATTAAGGGGAGAAGCGGGTGCAATCGAGGACGAGCAGGTGTGCCCGCTGGGGCAGGAGGTTGGCGCTGGAGAGACGGGAGATGGGGCGATGATTAGGGATTAATGAGTGCGAAAGGCGCCATGGAGGCGACAGCTGAAGTGGGGAGCACGTGAGGACTCGGAATGAGGAGGGGTATATAAGCGGGAGTGTGCGCGAGCTCAAGGAGTTGTTCGGGGACCAAGGGAGAAGACATCTCATCGCTGCCGTTCGAGCCGTCAAGGGGACCTCGCCCCTCACGCCGTCGCCGGGCGGGTGTTGGCTGAACCCCCCGCCCGGGACAGACGGGTGAGTGGGTATGGGGCAGCGTAGGAGAGGGCAGCGGCGAGCTGGGAGAGAGTCGGTGAGGTGCGGAGTAGTGGAGGTGCGGAGTAGATGAGAGCGGGTGGTAGGAGAAGCAGAGTGTGTGGTGACAGTGGAAGGCAGTCATAGGAGTGTCTACAACGGGTGCGAGAGTAGGATTAATAAAGTGTACCCATCCTCTCTGTTGAAGCATGGTCTGCTGCTGTCTCTCTGAGCAATCATTGGAAGGACGTTATTAACCAGGTAAAGTCTTAACTGACTGTGATGTTTCCATCCTACCTGCCTATGTCAGCTGTTAATTCCGACTCTCTCTCTCTCTATGCCTCTCTCTTAAATCTCTCATGCTCACATGTCCTTTGTATTGCACTCTCATACTCACATGCCCTTTGGATTGCACCCGTTGGGTTGCACTCCCTCGTCGAGGAGGCCGCTCTCCTATTTTAGTTACTTGCTAATTTCTCACATTAACATCATGCTAATCTCTCACATTAACGTGGCCACTTCCGTGCCCTCGTCGAGGAGGCTGCTTTCCTATCTTAGTTACATGCCAATTTCTCACATTAACATCACTAGCCCTGGCCACTTCTTAAAGACCCTTGGGCAACACCCATTTCAAACCTTTTAAAACAGTCTGCCTCGGCAGCAGACCGTGCTTTCCCACCTGATGACGGACGCTTGTGTTGCGCCCGAAACGTCGTGATTTATTTTATTTTGTACCTACGTGACTTTACCGAAAGAACCAAAGAGTATGGATTCATGCAGTCACGAAAGCTTCAAATCATAAATATACATTCTGCTGTTTTCCACTTGTGTCCTATCAACATAAGTTAGTCAACCGATGTACGAAATGTTAATACAGAAAACAAATACATCAGTAAATGAGGCTTCAATTATTATATTCCAAAAGGGAGACATGCTTTTAAGAATAAGACACATTAGCCTCATATCACAAGTGTATAATTGTTAAGGTTATATTTAAATGTTTAAAGTACACTTAGACATTAATGTAGTTTGCAGGCAACATAAGTTGGCAGGTCCTCACAAAAACAACACAGGATTATACCTATAAGTAAGATGTACACGGTGGGATGGTAATCCACAACTTGTCCAAAGTTGAAATTTTATTGACCATTGCTCACACAAGTGCACGTGAAAAATACCATCTTACAGAAAACACCTGCAGTACGCACAGAATTAAACAAAAATTGTGCTGCAGTAGTGACTCAGATCTGTTTGAACATAATTACAGGAGCCTAGTAAAATATAAGAAATTATTCTGACATTTAAAAAAATGCATTATGGTTATTATGCATAAGGCTCAGTTAAAGTTGAAACTTATTATGACAGATTCAAGATTGATCAAGATTAAGGAAGTAATTGGACAAGCTATGACACCTTTCTAACATCAAGGTCCAAACGCAGCAACATGTTCCAGCTTGGAAAATCTAGCAGCATGAGGCCGGTGCTGGCCTTTTACTGGAATCAGAAGGGCTGCTTCTGTATGAAGTGTGAAAACATCGTGTAGGCTGCACGGGGGTTGTCCGTGGGCACCATGTGGCCTGCACCCTGGGGTAGACATTCACACACGCGCCGAGCGTTAATCTGCAGTGACATGGATGTATGGTATTCCAATGCAGAGCTCAGTGAGTGTGCACCGTCAGTGATGCAATGGTGCGAGACAACCACGCACTCTAGATAAGTAAGCTGCACCTATTTTCACAACATTCACTTTCCTTGTACAAGTGTAAATACTCCCTCACATATAAAGCAGCTGGGTTTCAGATGAGGCCATATGTCATTATATTTCACCCTAACGGCTTCCAATTATACTGACAGGACACAGGTCAGTCTGACAACAAAGTACTGTGTTTTGCACATCCCTTCAGTTTTTTAACATTCACTTTACAAGACACCTTGCACCAAGGCTGCCGCTAGCATCTACGAGTTCATGACTGGAACCCTGTGAGGCTCCAAATGATGCTTACATTGTCATCACAATGCACGTTGAGGGTAATTCACGGCAACTAATTCTAAAATGCACCCATGTCTTGTGCTTTGAGTTCTTTGTTATTTTATGCTCGTCTTTCAGAGCCAGGTGACAGCGACTTAATGAGCAGTGTGGAGGGCCCTGAGACCACCAATGAGTTTTGCCAGGGGGCACTCTTCAACAATATGCAACTTAAAAGAATTGGGTTTTTCCCCTTTTTTCTGGCAACAAAACTGAAACCTTTTTACAAGGATTCATGTCTGCATTAAACACAATACCTGCAATACCTGCAGTCAAAATGCAAACAAAAAAACATACTATGATAATATATGCATTGTCCTTGAAACTGATTGGTCCACACCAAGGGACGGCTTTCTTTTGAGCCTTGACCCAATTGGTGCTCGACCAGATGACGCCATTTTGACTGCAGGTATTGTGGTTAATGCAGACATGAATCCTTGTAAAAAGGTTTCAGTTTTGTTGCCAGAAAAAAGGGGAAAACCCTATTGTTATATTTTGGTACTGGCAAAGGAGGTTTAATGAAATATGCAACTTGGTCTATCGCCAACTACATCCACAGAGTGGGTTGTCGTCGTGTTGGCCCCAGATGTGGAGATTGGTTGCACATGCCCAGTACGGAACCTCTTGAGCAGGGCCCATGCCTGGAATGGCAGGTCAAAGCCAGGAAGGTGAATGTTGGGGTCAGCGACGAGGCAGTGGTTCTTAATGTCTTGGGTGGACCAATCCTCAAGCCACCTTGGTACCACTGACAAGACCCGGTGCGGCACGTTGGTCCACACGTGGTGCCTCAATGACAAGCGGGCTCGTCGGTGGTTGAAAATGTTCAGGTGTAGCTTGTATCTGCACGAATCTTCTCCAACATTGGCGACTGCTACTTCATGACAAATGTGAGGGGAAGCCGATGTTGCGCAGCGCCGGCAGCCAAGGCAGTGGGGTGGGCTGTAGTGTCCTTGTGGTTAAATGTGGTTGGATGTCAACCATATTTGTGAGTGACGACTAACACCAGACTGGTGCACAAGACTCGGCGGTAGCAGAGCAAAGGGCGACAGCAGTTGTGTGAAGTGTCTGTGTGCCTGCACCCCAGGTTAAGCTGGCCAGTTTGCCGAAGGGGTTCTTATTGTCACATTGGCTTCCGTCTTCTTCAGGTGGTCTTGGAATGTGAGAGACCTGTCTAATGTCATGCCGAGGTATACTGGAAGAGTCTCATGTTTCAGGCACTGCCTGGTTTAGGAGCATGTTTAATTCACGGCTGCGCTGGCATTGTGAAAATGAAACACGCTCGACACCGTTTTGCATCACCCTCGGTTAAGGGTGCAATCTACTTCAGCATTCTGCCAGTTTGTCCATGTCGATCTTCAAGACATTCTCAAGTTCTGAGCATGTGTATGCCAGTGTGCCACGTCAGATGTCGTTGGCATAGATCAACTTTCATGACTACGTGGGTGGAAAGTCATTGGTGGAGAGGTTCAACAGAGCGCGAGCATGTAGCCCTGTGGTAGGCTGCTGACTTGCCATTTCCACGTTATTACTCTTCCCCATATGTATCCTGAACCGCTTGTCTTGAAGTAGCAGATCAATGGTGTCCACTGCCCACCTTGGCAAGACTCTGCATATTTTAGCCAGGCCAGTGTGCCAGACCATGTAGGTAGCTGTCAGGTCGATAAATACAGCTCCTGTTTTCAGTTTTTTCTGGAAGCCGTGATCGATGACTGTTGTCAGTGTCAGGACTAGGTCGCAAGTACTACATCCTCTTGAAATCAGCCTGCTCCACATGGAAATTATTTTCCACTTCTGGGGATATGCGCTGAAGTACAAAATGCTGCAGAATTTTAGGCACACAGCCAGAAATGATATTTGGCGATATAGTGCCCACTTGTGTAGGTCTTTTCCTAGTTTTTGACATCCGCTTGATCCTTGGTAGCCTTCTTTCGTTGGGCACCCATGTGATCCAATTAACCAACCACTGGTGAGCGCGAGGTGCAAGATGTTTTATAACTTCCATTGAAATGTTGTCATAGCCTGTGGTTGTGCCAGATTTTAGAATGCACAGTACCTTGTCTAGTTCCGTGATTGTGAAAAGTTCCAGATGGATCTGATTGGGGCTTCTCAAGTTGTAGTGTTGTTATTTATTGTGAGGCTGCCGTTTAACAAGCTTCTCCATTGAGGCCCTTGCTACACCTAGCAAGTAGTAGGCAACTTTGTTTTGAATTACCAAGATAATGGCTTGGAGCTGGTGCTTGCTGAGCTGTGCCAAGACACCATTCAGGTTCCAGTACCCAGAATGAGTGCTTTGAGGGTAATGTTTTTAAACTCTACTATGGGATGTGGCGCACACTAGACAGTCATTTACGACTGTGACATTTATGAGGGATGCCTCTGCATCACACATTGTTTATAGGTTACACTTTGCACCCTGTAATTTCCTAGTACAATATCTCTGTACATGTGCAAACAATGCACAAACACCACACTGCATAGACCACAAGTTTCCCACATGAAAGGGCTTTTGATAGGGCAGTCACACGATGGGGTGGCTGGGAGAGTACCTTGACGGTGAGCAAGGCAAGGTTGGAGAACTCCTTGACAAAACCGGCGATTTGGCTGCTGCCATCCTCAAACAGCCACGGCCGCCTCTCCACTGCCACCTGCACACACCGATGTAGCCTGGTGTTCAGTGAATCTGCACACCGCTCCGGAGACGCAGCTCCACACCTCACACAAACTGTTCCTGCACCATCATCCATACTGCAAGGAATCGCTTGAATTAATGAGCACTTCAGAATACTTTTTTATGAGAATGTACTCTAGCCGTAACAGTTGCAGGTGTTGTACAAATTACTTTTAATTAAAGATTTTAGAAAGTTGAGACTGGCGGCATATTTTAGCGTCTGGAAAAACCATTCCATGTTACAGCAGCTCTGCGTCTTCAGGTTTTTCTTGAAGGGACAGTTAAAGTGCTATAATTTTTGGACCGAAGAGCATACTTCCTATGAATCACTGTATTTGTTTGCACTGGAATCTAATAGGTGCCTCCCATTAGATACAAACTCAAGCAAGAGGTACTTTCCTTTTACCCATGTTCTTAGTCCCGTGAGCTATGCCACACCCAGATGCCAGCAGAAGGTATCCAATATTTGCTTCCCACCCCTGACCACAAACAAGATGGCATCACCCCCACTGTCTGGCCCTTTCCCTGCTCTTTTGTCATGGAAGACAGTTTGAAGTGTCGTTTCATGCAAACTAGTCTGGCATCATAGTCCCCCCTCAAAGTACATTACTTTCAAATAGCCACCGTATTGGCAGTGATGAGCATTTGCCTTGGCATGCGGCAACACAGGGCAGCGTGTTTATGGCCTACGGCACTGGGGCCTCCTGCTTTCTGTGACATAATCAGAGACCAAAACGAGGGCATTACAACCACGAACATAGGAAAGTCAAACAACGCAGTCACAATGTGAACAAAGCTGTCAACACCCACAGGAATGTTACAATAACACAGTATCGTGTTAAAAAAGTCTATGTGTATGTATAAAATGTACAGCATTACAATGTGTACTTAGACACATCATCATCATCATCCCACTATACATTCCACATGTCAAACTTGCAGAAGTAATCTTCCCTTCACAGTATGAAAGAGGAAGCTTCTGGACCAAATGGGATACCTGTGGAAATCATGAAAAGAGTTGACCAGCTTTGGATCAAAATTATTGGACATATTTACTCAATGTTTAAACAGAGATGAAATTACATTAACTGTGGAATGATGCCTCTATCATTATTTTTTTCAAAAATTAAAAATACCGATTTTAAGAATGACATTTTGGCCTCATTCCACATACGTAAATTGTTTTGACAATTTAGAGGTCAACCAATCACATACAGAAAAGCTGCATTACCACTGATCACAACCATATTCTAGAAAACACAAATTAATATCAAACACTATTATACTTGGCTTCTGCAGACAATTAAACAGCAAGTGATTCAATGGTAACTGATGCAGTCATCCCGGGCCTCACAAACCAAGGCCTGAATACACAAATAGAAAATATCAAACTATTTGTAACGTGACTTTACCGAAAGAACCAAGAAGAGGACAGGGAAAGTTTGTTGGAGTGCTTTTGGAAAACGTAAGTGAATAATGCAAAGCAATATACCAATGTGCTGAAATAAGTATAGCGTTAAACAGTGCATGGTGCCTGGCATGATTTGTGGATTGAAACATGGACACTGAGAAAGACAGTGTAACAAAAACTGAATGTACACAAAGGGTAGAGAGATGCACGTTGGAATTGCACTTGAAGTTTGAAAGAGGAACATGAATCAGAGACTACGTAAAACATCATATTGCCTTTAAAGAAGGGTAATCTGGCTTGAGCAGAATACAGCGCTATAGGCATGATGGCTGATGGACACGGCTGGTGACAGCATGGAAACTAAACGAGGAAACAAGCCCCGCAGTATGGCCACCACGGAGATGCAGCGATAAGACCAAGATGGGGTTGCACTGAAAGGCCATTAGGGATGGTACTAATGTGGGGATGCCTTCATGCAGCCGTGGATTGACCATGGCCATAGATGATACATTTTAGTGTAGTAAAGTTAGCCAGTTGTTATTAAATTGTACTTAAAAAACCCCACTCCTGCACTTTCACTTACTCGTACTGAAATGACAACGTGCAGTCAGAAGGAATGGTGGAAGAGTGCACAGCAGAGAGCGATAGGCGGCATTACACAGTGCATGCTGGGATTAAGCATTGCTGCAAGAGCCTCTTACGACTGTCCATCATGAGCTGTGATGTCCTGCAGAAGCAGATCATTAGTGCGTCTGTCCCCGTGAAATCCACACACTCATGAGCCCGCTCACAGACACTAATCCCACTGCGCACGGGTTCGCTCACTCCACAGCGCCAGCCCTGACTGACAGCCAGCGTCTCTTGTTACGGGTTCACAAGCAGCACGACACGACGTGGTGCAGAAACAAGGGACTGGGAGCGTGCGGTGGAGCGACCGCCCTCGTGCTGCACGTCTCCCAACTCCTGACTGACCCCCCGAAATCCATTTCAACAAACACAGCTGTGTAAAGCCCTGTGATCGGTGCGAGTACGGAAAGTAGGAGGTCATCACGAGGTCAAATCACCATCTCTTGAACCACTAAAGTGGCTTTCTGACCCTCTGGCCGGTGAGGCCGTAACGACAGTCTAGACGGTGGATTAAGCCAAGAGGCTGCCGCCATTATGTGCTTTAGGTACAAGGGTATCTGAAAGCGGGGCTGCGATAGAACAGGTGGGAGGGTGTGTGGGTGGCCACAAGGCAGCCAGCGGCCAGGAGCAAACTCATTAGTGAATATGGCTTTGACTTGGTGACCTGACCTCAACAGGTTGGGTGTTTTGGAAATGAAGGTAATGTAATTTCTGACAGATAAATCTGTGTCGCACAACGCACTAGAACAACCCCTTCCCCCTGCACAAGTTATTTAGAGGATGAAGAACTTCAGTGCTGAGTGGTGCACAAAAGGGAACCATAATTATAAACACCACGACATCGTCACGTGTGTATGTGACTCTTAGTATATATTTATGTGCATACGTGTGTCTGTGTATTTTATGTGCATACGTGTGTCTGTGTATTTTATGTGCACACGTGTGTCTGTGTATTTTATGTGATTCTTATTATGTGTGTGCATACGTGTGTCTGTGTATTTTATGTGCACACGTGTGTCTGTGTATTTTATGTGACTCTTAGTATGTGTGTGCATACGTGTGTCTGTGTATTTTATGTGCACACGTGTGTCTGTGTATTTTATGTGCACACGTGTGTCTGTGTATTTTATGTGCACACGTGTGTCTGTGTATTTTATGTGCACACATGTGTCTGTGTATTTTATGTGAGTCTTAGTATATGTGTGTGCATATGTGTCTGTGTATTTTATGTGAACACATGTGTCTGTGTATTTTATGTGAGTCTTAGTATATGTGTGTGCATACGTGTGTCTGTGTATTTTATGTGAGTCTTAGTATATGTGTGTGCATATGTGTCTGTGTATTTTATGTGAACACATGTGTCTGTGTATTTTATGTGAGTCTTAGTATATGTGTGTGCATACGTGTATCTGTGTATTTTATGTGCACACGTGTGTCTGTGTATTTTATGTGACTCTTAGTATATGTGTGTGCATACGTGTGTCTGTGTATTTTATGTGACTCTTAGTATATGTGTGTGCATACGTGTGTCTGTGTATTTTATGTGACTCTTAGTATATGTGTGTGCATACGTGTGTCTGTATTTTATGTGACTCTTAGTATATTTGTGTGCATACGTGTCTGTATTTTATGTGACTCTTAGTATATTTATGTGCATACGTGTGTCTGTGTATTTTATGTGACTCTTAGTATATATGTGTATACGTGTGTCTGTGTATTTTATGTGAGTGGTGGAGTGATCAGCACTTTATGTTTGTCACGGAAACCTTGGGTTGTGATTCCCCTGCCAGTCGCAACATCGGTGGCAAAGTGAAATCCGAACTTGTTCCTGGACCTTCCCTAGGTTGACTTAGCCATAAATTGAGCAGAGTGTAATAATCAGATTTGCTGTTCAAACCACTATCTTGTGTGTTGTACCTGGTTTAATAGGTGCTCGCTAATAGTTTTTGCCCAAAAACTAAGAGGCTATATTGAATATTTATCATTGAAATAGTCCAATTAATGAAAATGCGTGAGGTAAGGTTGAGAATTGAGATCCTGGTTGGAAGTTAATAAAACCCATCATCGCTCCAGGGACGATAACATGAGGAATGTTGCTGGCCAGCTTTGAGTAGGATTTACGACATTAGGCACTACAGGTGTCCCCCGATTTATGAAAGGGATGTATTCTTCAAAAACCACGCGTCAAACGAAATTTCGTGAATCGGAACAGCTTTTCCCATTAATTTAACACAAAATTAGGGATATGTTTCAGACACCCATTCCGACTCTACTTCAAAACCTAAAAATAGACACCACCTATAACACTTTTCACAACACGAAAATAAAGAACAGAAATATTAAAACGATTGAATGATAATTAATAAAACTAAAATAATTAACCTTCTCAGGGAACTCGCCAAAAGATCAGCATGTTTGAATAACTAGAAAGGTGATGTGGAGGCGTTACTGTTGCACTGTAGGGACACCGTGACGCTGTCGAGGATGGATGATGCTTCTTGTTTGATCTCATGGCGCATGCTGTGGGAAATTTCGTTAACTGAACATTTGTGAAACGAAGGATGCCTGTACCACTAAAGTACACGGTATGCCTATACCAGCGGTCGCCAAATTGCATCTCCCAAGCCGCATGTGGCTCTAATCTACCATATGCAGCTCTATCGAAGGGACATAATGTAGAATGTACCATCACAGGAGCAAATAATAATGAATTAAAGTTGTATGAGTGGTATCATATAATATTATATATACACTTGGCTCTGCAGAACTCATGGGTTTTTTTGGCTCTTGGTCTGTTACAGGTTGGCTACCCCTGGCCTATGCTGTACACGATAGCCACCTTAACGTGAGTACAAATGCAATGACGTGGCTATGCTTCCAAGGATGTGACTGTGGGTACACACCAGCATTACTATGGGTTAACGAACATGAATGGCTGTACCGATATGACGACTGCAATTGAACTAAATGTTCAGCTGTGAGGCCTAATGCTACACAAACATCACGACGCGACACAGCATGTCGTGCAATGTGCGTCGCGTGCTATGCTCCATGGGGGTCGTCCCACATGCTGCTGTGTGGCGTGTCACTACCTTCTGCTGCAGCGACTCCACAAACCACTCCTCCCCCAGGAAGTTGCAGGCCATGTCCACGTCCCCATTGTAGAGCAGGATCCGGTATTTCTGTCAGACATTACCACCCCAGTCATGTGGAAATGATCGAGACTCATAAACGTTGCAGGTATTAAGAATTACCTTCTAATTATTATGTCTATGGCCATTTTTTTACCACAAATCAATTAACAAACAACACACTTTCATCCCATGTATCTCTCTTCAAATTAAAACTCAAAGTATCTTCTCAACACATCTCATTAGCCACATGGCCAATGGCTCAGTTTCAATACTCGGCATCTCATCAGCAGTCAGGCTTGCTTGAACCAATGTTGGTAAATTGTCAGATGTTTATAGGCAATGATGCTCCCTGGGTTTTAGTTTTATGAAAAAATATAACACAACATCATCAGAAGTGTTGTGGAGAATATAACTAGACAAGACAACTTTCTTCCTTCCCATATCTGTCCCTGCACATATAAAAATAAAAGCATTTTTACACACTTGTCGTCATAAACAATTATAAATATGAGAATAAGTTTTCCACTTTTTTCTGGCAACAAAACAGGTGTTAAGATGTTAAAACACCAAACTGAAACCTTTTACAAGGAATCATGTCTGCATTAACCACAACACTTGTGGTCAGAATGCCAACAAAAAACACTAATAATATATGCATTGTCTTTGAAACTGATTGATCCACTCCAGAGACGGCTTTCTTTCAAGCCTCATCTCAAAACGGTGTTAGACCAGAGGACACCAAAAGGTGATAGGGTGAAATAGTCTTGTTCGGCCTCAATGAGCCCCAGATTCACAAGTGAATGAAGATACGGTCTTAGGCCCTCACGATTCCCACATGCCAATGCTCTAGGGCCCCCACCCATTTCCTCCCTCCCCTCTACAAGAGGCTGCTGCTGTACCAGGGCTCCGAGCAGCTTGAGGTAGTGGTCCTTCATGCTCGTGTAGGTGGACTGATAGTGCGAGCCAACTTCTGCACTGGAAGAACAAAGAACATTCACACATTCTTGAGCTCTTCACTCCTTAAATTTCGATTTAAAGCTTTCGTGACTGCAGGGATTCATATTCTTGGTTCTTTTGGTAAAGTCATGGAGAAGGGAAATAATAAAAAATAAACAACACAAGCAATCATCATCAGGTGTGAAAATCACAGCACCTGATGATGATTGCTTGTGTTGCAATCGAAACGTCCTGAGAATTTTATTGTTTTATTTTTATTATTTCCCTTCTACGTGACTTTACCAAAAGAACCAAGAACACTCGTCACTCCTGTTGAACACTTCTTACAAATAGCATTTGTGCACAATGACACAGAATACCGCATATTCAAAGAAAGCGTGTTCATGGGTTTGGGCCAGGCAGTAGTTTGATGCAAAATTTCATGTCAATAACCTGAGAAGGTTGTCACATTTACAAATATTCGTATGTGCCAATGTATTTGCGAAAAAAAAATATATATTTTAAGTTAAAAGGACAAATTATGTTAAATTTGGAAAATATAACAAGTTACATGTATTCTATTTTCAGTATATTACACGTATAAAGTCTAAATGTTAATATTGTATACAAACGCACTTAAAACTGAATGTGGTTTCCTATTCAAATGAGCAGAGGTGGTGCTCATCTCCCAATTACAGCCCTGAGCCAAGGGTGGAAATTCCATATTTATGACGGGGGCAAGGCTATCCACAGGAAAATCACTGTTGACTTCCCCACAAGTGGTACTCATTTGATCGACCCTAGAGGGATGGCAGGCAGTGTCATCCCCCAAGATTTTAACTCGCAACCTTTCAATTACAAACCACACTTACACGCACAGGTGTGTGTCGGGTATGTGTACACACACACGCATGGGTATGTGTACGCACACACACATGGGTATGTGTACACACAGACAGCGCTCAGAGTGAACGTGATGGCAGGCGGTGTCGCCGGCACGCTGGCGACAGACGGCTTTACCGCCGCTATCTCTGCAGCCATCAGTGCTGCGAGCACTGCTTTGGTGTTTGGTTCCATTTATGTGCACGGCACCGGGAGGGTGTTTAGCAAGGGCGTCTGTACGGTGGTGGGAGGAACGCTTCACACACGACGGCCTCCCATCACAATTGGACCTGTGAACCCAAGTGGAAACGATGGGAATGAAAGGCTCAGGTGAGGAGGCGAAATAGGGCCGTTTGGGGAGTCACCGTGACAAAGACACCTGTCCTCGAGACCTCTCCAGAGCCACACAAGCTACGTCACGGTCTTCCAATGTCCACATGTGGGATAGAGTGGACAGTGTGTCAACAAACACCTGCACGTGAACTACCCAGACAATGAACCGCAATTTAAAACATTTACATCCGTGTTTCCTCGCATGAACGATTACTGGGATTTCTGAAGAAACGGGGCGGGTGACTCCCACCGCGACTCACTGCGCCTAACTCACAGAACTCGTCCGACCAGAAGTGGGGAACATCATTTTGTCATTTTGGCAGAGCGAGGGACATCTTCCTGCACAGCGTGGGCAGGGCAAAGCGTCGCAAACTGCCATGCCTCCCTATATTAGAAATCTAACTTCATACAAGATGATAGTCTAGATGTAAATAGGTTGGCTCAGTCCATCATTGCCCTGATAGATAATGAGTACCACTCTGGAGATATGTCAACAGTGGTTGTCCTATGCATAAACGTCATATTTTATTTCCGGAATATGTATTTATAATGGAGGAATCCGATTAGCTATAAAGCTCTTTCACAGATGTTAAGTAGAGGTAGGTCACAATGTTACAAAAACAAGCCATACAAAAAACGCGATACGAGTGCAAATTACTTTTAAAAAATATGTACAAATAAAAGTACCATTTTTTTATTACCAGGTGAAGCCCACTGAGCTGTTAGCGTCTTTTTCAGAAGTAACCTGGCCACAAATGAAAGCTCAACAAAATAGCTTATCATGTGGAAATTTATAGCCACAAAATAATCCTGCTATAGAAATGTGGAATTTTGACTGCCGACTCAAGGCCGTAAAAAGGAGATGAACACTGCCTCAGTGCTCATTTGTGCAGGAAATCAGTTTTGTTAATTGGTAGAAATTATTTTGTTTAACGTTTTTATAATGGAGATAATCTCATAGAGGTTTAGCCTACAGTGGGCCTGCATGGTGTCACATTGCGAGTGGCTCAGATGCTGTGGAGGTACATGCTATGCAGCACACACAGCTGCGAATCACGCAGGGCTGTGCAGCACACACGGCATGCAGGGCGAAGCACACATTGTGCACAGTACCTGCATATCTCCCAGGTTGGAACGCCCGAGGGGATGTGCAGCGCACGCCGCACGTAGTCGTCGTTGAGGTAGGCGGCCATGTTGCTGGAGTTGACGCAGGGTGGGTCTAGACGCACCGGGCCACGCCGGCTGTGCAACTTCCACAGCGCCTGTGGGAGAGCGCAAGTATTAGCTCCCCACTCAGCCGTGAGCCCAGAGCAGATGTTCCCCTTGTTGGTACCACTTGAGACGCCATATCATCACTGGTTCCAATTTGTTTACGGGGTCAATAACAGTGGATTACAGGATAACCACTCTCATATAAGCACACAACTTTATCTATCTGTGATGAACGCTGCACTTTCCGTCGATTTAATGCTGGGGGCGCTGCAAACCTACGCGCCCCCTGCATGAACGACGGAGGCGCAGGGACAGACGTTCGATTACATTGGAACTGATCTGCAGATGGCGGTCTTCTCGCACGGCCAGCTCTATGTCGCCTTATCTCGATCCCGATAATACGTTTGTAAACTCCCCTCCCCCCCCCGTGTTAGGTGCTCTATCAGCACTTTATGCTAATTCCTTTGTCAAAGCGTTTGGTTTCCTCCCACACAGCTTAAAGGATGCGACCTAGCTTGATTTTCTTAATTACAACGCTGTCTTCGTGACAGCACGGTCCCTTCACCTGATGAAGGCCACTTGTGTTGTGGCCGAAACGTCGTGATTTTTGTTGTTTTATTTTTTACCTACGTGACTTTACCGAATGGAACCAAAGAGTATGGATCCTTGCAGTCACGAAAGCTTCAAATCTAGAACATATCTGGCAGTTAGGCAGCATTGGTTTAATTAAGCAAATCTGATTGGTGATGACCCACTGAATGTCACAACCCATCCATAGTTTTCTTCTGTTGAAGCAATACTGCTAATTAAAGGCACTCCTAGAAGGCCGTGTGGTCAATGGGTTGTGTAATACAAAAACATTATATGGAGGGACAGATGTGGGAAGGTGTATTGTCCGTTAATTCTGGAACACAGCAATTTGCAGCTCTTCCGGTTGCATTGCTTCCCCTTTGCTTCCCACGCAAGTACAGCACGACCGCGACAGGCATACCTCGACATGCAAGTGCTGGAATTTGTGTTGACTGAAAAGAAAACGATGGTACCATGGCAAAGCCCACTCTGTCGACCGCCTGTTGCAGATAGGTGAGACGATATGCAGGGAGATCAAGACGAGCACACAACAGGATTAGGGTTTATTAAAGCATTGTGGTCCCACATATTTCCCTACACAAAATGCAACCGTCCGCTATTGCGATGGAAAGTGTGCGTGTGCCTGCAGCGTTCAATGGGTTCAAGATGGCTGGTCACTACTCCAGCGGTTCCCAACCGGTGCACCGCAAGGCCATGAAAAATGCTCAGTGGAACCGTTGTAGATCCTATGATTTTCCCCCCCCAAAAGTACCACATTTTTTACTTCCCGTTGCACAAATATGTATATTTACAATTTAAGACGGCGCTACAAATTATTCACTTTCTCATAAAACATTTGCAGTACTTTGAGCAGTTTTAATGTTATTGGTGCGCGGCATCCACACATTTGTTTTGAGCAGTGACCGTGACAGTGCGCAGTCCGGAGGGGGTTAGGAACTACTGCAATAATCGATCAAATAACAATGCTGCCATAAACGAGGAACGGCACTTACGTGGCAGGAGGGGGCACGCCCCCGGCACAGGGCGCGTACAGGTTGTAGATGTTCAGTCCGATCCCCCCAACCACCACAGATACTTTCTCTACCTGCAGCAGCATCAGAAGCAGATACATCACTTGCCTGGGCAGCACACCTCGCCCAGCCACGCGCACGCACGCAAGCAAAGCCCTGACAATTCACGGCAGTTGCAACAGCACAGCTATGGAGGGGGATTAAACCAAGGTGATCTTGTGTGCGATGGATTACAATATCTCTTCCTGTATTTGTGCGCAATACTGTGGGTAGGTGTCTCACCAGCTTGGAGCACTGCGGGTCACCAGGGCTAAAGAAGTTGCACTTGCCTTCCGAGCAGCAGTGCTGCTGCAGATTCACCCACAAGCTAGGGAGTAGGAAGGAGGAAGCATTCACCTTGGACTTTAGATTCATCACTTAAGTCTATACAGCAAATAAATGGGAATGAACGGGGTGTCTCCATGTCGAGTTCAATAAAGAGGCATATGGTCATTACAGACTGTAGGGCTACTCAGGCTGTGTAACTGCAAACCTTTCCATCTGCCGAGAAACACAACTCCCCCCACCCCCACACTGGATTGGAGGGGTCGCAGGGCAGTAGAGACAAACCAGGCCCTCTCTGCTGCGATCACTCCATCAGCTCCGGTGCCAAGAATTTAATTTTCCCAGAGTTTGTGTCAAACGTCACTACGACATTAAGCAAAGCTATTTCATTCGAAAATAAATAAATAAATTCAAATGTTTCTTTGATGTCAGTACTTACAGAAACTAAAAAAATAAATTGAAACATGCCTGGGCAGCTAATTAGGATATCTCTTAATCCAGGCCATTCCCATGGACTGTGGACTGATGGTGATTTCTGAGCTTAGGGCCGGCTCGTGTGGCTAGCACTCCCAGGAATGCCCTTACCTTAACCCCTAATTCTAACCTTAATCTCTAACCCACTATACCGAGTCCCTAATGACTGACCCCTAACACTAGCCCAAAATACCTTACCTTAAACCAACGAACCATCATGACACCCCAAGTACAATGTGCTGGGTGACGGTATAAATTTGGGCACTGTGACACGTTCAGAATATGTATCGTTCAAATTGCTGTCACCATTTTTTCGGAGATGTTACTGTACATTGGTTCAAAATATGTCGTAACTGTTGTTCACTATTCATGGCATCCAGCCAGGTGTCTCAGCAGAAGAGTGAGAGGCTCGTAATCGGAAGGTTGCGAGTTTAAATCCTAGTTGGGAATTTGGCTCAGGCCATCATTCATTTAGGATCAATAAAATACGAACCGCTTTGTGGATATACTCGATCCCAAAAGAGGAATTAAACATTTCCACCACTGGCACAGGGTTCTAAACAGGAGATGAGCATCAACTAAATGCTCTTTTGGGCAGTAAATCACTTAAGACTTTTTTTGGATTATTTATGAAAGTTTTCATTTAAAAAATAAAATAAACACCTTCAAAATATAATTGATTGCGAGAGCTGCTTCAAGATGAATACTGTGGAATATAAAGCGATTTATCTACTTCGTTCACTGAAGGTGATGTCATCCACAATTTGCGTGAATAACCACGGAGCCACTACAGAAACCACACGTTACCCTCAGGGGCCATATTGCCCGTGAATGCTATTTATTAAACTCAAATCGCTAACATCTGAAAATCTTAACAAGCCAATGATTTGAGTGCATTGAAAGTGTTGGTTTATTGATGGGATTCCATCAGGCGCGGGTGGTCGGTTTCCTTGACCCAGCAACCTCTCCCGCACCCCTCTCACTTCACATGCAATGGCATGAGCAGCAGGGGGTGTAAGTGGAGGAATGTGACACGGCTCCATAATCGCTGCAACGGAGGTGAGGGCATCATCATTGCCAGGAGCGCGGACGGGCAACGTAGGTGACTTCTACTGTGAAGCAGTGGGGAAAGGGGGTGGGAGCGATGAGTGTGGGGGAGTGAGGGGTGAATGGGAACAAAGGGAGGAGGGAATGTTGGGAGCTTGGAAGCAACAGATTCTAAGAGGCACTTACTCCTCCCCGATCAGTCCGTGGTAGTAGGCAAAATAAACGATGGAATTGTCGTTGATTTCAAAGCTGGAAAGGGCATTTCCCACCGCCATTCCCTGCCAGACACACAAAGCACACACAGTACACACCATGCCATGTACACACAGCAAACACCTCACACACCATGCGACAAACACACCACCACAGCACCTTCCTAATCAGAAATATCTCAAAACTCTCATTATCGACCTAAGTCAGCCACGCCAGGTGCTATTCACTACACCAAACAACTCTCCGCAATCTAGAGAAGACAGGTCGACTATGCATCATGAGAAGACAGAACTATGACGATTGTAATAATTCACGTGCCAATTGCATGCGAGTTGGTCTCTTGTGAAGTGAGTAACTTTGTCAGGTGGTGCCACTTTGTTATAATTTATTTTGAGATAGACTCAAACAGAGGCCCACAGATTCGTGATTGTGGAGTAAGCATGAGTGAATGTGGAGTGAGTGTGAATGATTGAGTAGGTAGTGTGGGTGTGTAGTGAGTGATTCTGTAGTGAGCGATTATGCAGTGAGTGTAAATATTGTGTAGTAATTGAGTGATTGTGTAGGGAGTGTGAGTGATGGTGTAGTGAACGATTACACAGCGAGTGTAAATAATTGTGCAGTGAGTGCGAGTGATTGTGTAGTGAGTGATTATGTAGCGAGTGTGTAGTGAGTGGCTGAGTTGTAAGCAGTCATGTTAAAGACAGAGTCATAGACAACGCCCCTGTGGAGATGGCGGCCTTTCAAGCAATGGCCACTGCCATTATCACAGACACGGGGCTCCGGGGAAATGTCGTGCGTAAGCGGCGCAGTGGACGTGGGGCAAAGCGAGGTAGAGGACGGTGAGCATTGCGCTACAAAACGATCCAATTCAGGGATGCCGGCGGCAGGAATGGCAGCCAAGTCTGGCAGCCGGGACAGGCGTAGGCGCAGGATGGCAGAAGCCAGGGCAGAAGGTTGGGTGGGGGAGAGATTACGCTTCTAAATAGACTGGTAACAAATGCCAGCACTGTATACGCACTCTGTGATGTGAATTCCAGATCTCGGCCATCTCTCTCGTCTATATTTGAAAATGTTTTTTTGGGGGTCTCTCACAATGATAGTAAAGCGCTGCGGAGTGTCACACGCTAAAAGGCGAGCGTGCCGGGCTCCACAGGGAGGGGAGAGGGAGGGCGGCTGGGAGCCTGGCTCCAGCGTTATCCACCCGGCGCCGAAACGTGGGCCGAGACCGCGGGGGTGGTACGCAGCACCACTTTGCCCGGCCACCCGTGCTATCGCGCCAGTGAGAGCTCGACGGCGATATGGAGCCAGAGCCTGGGTAATCTTTCTTCTCTGCTTGCACCGTAGCATGGAGCCATGGGCTGCATTGACATGAACACGGAAACGTGATAATAGAAACTGCACACTAAATGAGGCTGTTTTGTGCACTGAACACAAATGGAGTGCGTATTGAACTGATGGTGCTGAGGCCAATTAGAGCAATGGGCTATTGTAAAGAACATTTTTCAGCCCTGGGGTCAATGCATACAACAAAGTGGGTATAATATTCCCTGAGCTTGAGTTTAAATCAGGGTCACTCAAGGGAAATGTTCACTTGAGGTGTTGAATGAATCTGGCCACTGGTCCTTCCCAACAGGTCCTGCATCGTGCCTGCTATATATGGCTTCACAGTATATTAAAGCATAAAAGAAAAGTGTATAGTGTGGTTTGAGTGTATTCTTCTTTCAAGAAATAGAGTTCAAAGAATACTGCTCACGTATTTTCAAACAATGCCTTAAAAGAAAAACATGCATGATCAGCAACATTTTCCCAGCTCGTTGCCTATTATATATACTGCGTCTTCCATTTATGACAGTGCTATTGATGAACGTGTTGACCTTTTGGTTATTTGACCTCATGCACCACTGCAACTGGAGAATCACAAACTGAATGTGCACACACATTGGGTAATTCATCGTCACAGCCACTGGACAGGCACCTCGGATGTCAACATCTATCGCGTATGCAGCACCAATGTCACACAGCACAGCACTGATTGATGGGCCCGCAGCAACACCATGCAATGTGAATTATTTAGAACTGCAAGCATCTCTTCCAAAATGACATTTACAACATTTAAAATGGAGAAAACACGCATTCTTATACAAACAACACTGTAGACATATGCGGCAAGTGAAGTGAAGCAAGGGAGCACATAGATCACGCACGAAGAGGAATGCAGAAGTGTGATGTGAAAATAATTGAAAGCTCTGTTTCGGTTAATCAACTCTAGAATGTATCTGGTATCTGATGTGATGAGATTTGTATCCACGAGGCCCTTGTTTAAACGCCTCAGCAACTCAAAGCGCCTAACATTTTCATCTCAACCATTCTGATGTCCTGCTGTCGTCTAGCCACGGGAACTCCAGTGGCAGCTGTCCCCTTTCGATACAAGCCCTAACTAGCAACTAAGCAGAAAGGCATCCAATGCCCCAGACTCCTTGCATCACGTGCCCCTTTGCCCTGTGCCCTCTGACCCCAGCATGTGCACACCCTCACCTTGAGGTTGATGCTGGGATCCTCCATGACGCGCACGGCGAGGGTGGGAAGGTAGAAGCCCGCGTAGCTCTCCCCTGTCAGGTACAAGTCGTGTTTGCTCCACTCTGGGAACTTTGCAAAAAAGCTCTTCAGCGCCAGGTAGTTGTCCATGGACACCTGTGAGCAGGGAGCAGAGGACGACGCCGACAGGGGCTATGGAACGAGTCAGAAAAGCCTTTGAGTGTGCTGGGAGACACTGCGCTATTGTTACTGGATTTAACTGAACCTGCTATACCTTGTTTTTTAAATTTATTTGTTCATGCAGGTAAGAAATAATCAGCCTTAAGTTGTTTTACAAGAATGAAACCGTGGAGGACCTTGGAGAAAAAAAGAAAACTACAGCGAATAAATCGTAACATTGTAGACAATGAGTTGCAAACACGTTTGGAGGAAAACAACATTAAAGTCATGAGCCACTCAGGTAAAACTGGCAGCAGATAGCACAGAAATATAATACAGCAACTTGCAAAGGGTTCCCCCTCAGCACACGTGCGAGAAAATTAAAAGGTAAAAGTGTTGAGCAAATATGATGGAGTGGTGACGTTAGTATGATAGTGTTGAAAATATAGATTTTGAGTGACATATAACACAATATAAATGTGGATTGTTGATATTGAGTGATGTGTGATGCTGTTTCGCTGTTAAATGTTAAAACCATTGATTGTAAATACTGAGGCAGAGTGAGAAAAGCATAATTGGTAGATCGATCGTGGGTGGTGTCAGGACAAGACCTGGTCATCACTGGTCGTGTAGTTCTTGTCGGCCGCGTAGGAGAAGCCCACTCCGGCTGGGGCCTCAAGGTAGAGCACACTGGAGATCTGGACAAAGGAGAGCACGGGTACAAAATGTGAGTTCCTTCCCAACATTGGGTTTGTTTGCTGGTGGACTACGTGTGTGCGCGTGTGTGAGCGAGTCGCTGCGGTGCCGACGTCAGAAGCGGACGGCGTCGTGGCCCCGAGCTCGGCGTTGGGCTCCGCTCACCTTGTTCCAGGCGTACGGGTTGTAGAGCAGAGACACCCCATCAGGTTGTACCTGCCAATCACATGCACCATGTGCACAACTGTGAATGGGGTGGTACCTTATAGATTTACTGTCTTATAAATTAAAATTTTTCACCTGGATAATGCCTTGCGATGGAACATTTTGTTTGCAGGGGTGTAAATTGATGAGTACATTGCAAAAATAGAATGACACGTACACAACCAATGAATCTGTAACTTGTTCAGTTTGCATACATTTACAAACGAATTCAGATGTGCAAACTGCCGTTACATGTATACTATTCTTCAGCTGTAATTATTGTAAATGTTGCGGGATTATGTTCAACAAGTTGAGACTGGCGGCATAATGAAATATGTCTGGGAGATCGTTCTGTGTTGAAGCAGCTCTACATCTCAGAGCGCTGGTTTGCCTCTTTATGCTGAACATAGTTGAATTGTTATGATTCTGGGATCTGAGGGCATAGTTATTGTTGGAGTAAAATGACAGTTGTTTTGCGTTAATTAAGGAGGGGCATTTAAATGTATACATGTGTAAATAATTACTTCCCATTTTCTAGCACCAGACCACTCGGGAAAGTCTGACTATAGCAGCAGCTGCCTGTGGTGTCATACCAGGTAGGGTCCGTGTTCTGCCAACAGTCCCTCCATGGAGCTACAGCCGGGGCCTCCATTCAGCCACAGAACCAGGGGGTCCTTGGAGGGGTTACTCTGAGACTCCACAAACCTCGGACACACATGCACACACGTAACTATACATACCTGCATGCACATGGGCACGGAAGCACTGGTGTACCACAAGAAGTCGCTATTTGCCATCAAGCAATTGTGACGTCACGCCAGCACTTGTAGGCTACATGCACTTTGATACGATGTGAAATGTTGAAGGCTCACTGGCAGCAAGTCATAGGGCAAGCCCATGTGTAATAATTTGACTGAGATGACTGGCACCACGTGTGCTTCCCACTGTGTCAACTGGTTAAACGCCATGTACACACGCACACACGAGCACAGATGCCGGAAGTGAGACCCGAGCGAGACTGCATCGTGAATGAGGAGCCACTGGTGTGCTTACACCTCAGCTGTCGCATGTTAATGCTGACATGGTCCTCACACGTGCACAGCGATAACTGAAGCATGGAAACTGCACCCTCTGACTCGGCGATGCGGGTTTTCGTTTTCATTGACATGTTCAAAGTTTTTTTTCCAAATAGGATTTGAACTCACAACCTTCCGATTGCGGGCCTGCGTGATGAGTGATTGTTAGTCGCTCACCAGTAGTGCAGGTGCAGGGTGAATGAGTGATAGTTACTCGCTCACTAGTAGTGCAGGTGCAGGGTGAATGAGTGATTGTTAGTCGCTCACCAGTAATGCAGGTACAGGGTGAATGAGTGATTGTTACTCGCTCACCAGTAATGCAGGTGCAGGGTGAATGAGTGCTTGTTAGTCACTCACCAGTAGTGCAGGTGCAGGGTGAATGAATGATTGTTACTCGCACACCAGCAGTGCAGGTGCAGGGTGAATGAGTGATTGTTAGTCGCTCACCAGTAGTGCAGGTGCAGGGTGAATGAGTGATTGTTAGTCGCTCACCAGTAGTGCAGGTGCAGGGTGAATGAGTGATTGTTAGTCGCTCACCAGTAGTGCAGGTGCAGGGTGAATACGTGATTGTTACTTGCTCACTAGTAGTGCAGGTGCAGGGTGAATGAGTGATTGTTAGTCGCTCACCAGTAGTGCAGGTGCAGGGTGAATGAGTGATTGTTAGTCACTCACCAGTAGTGCAGGGTGAATAAGTGATTGTTACTCGCTCACCAGTAGTGCAGGGTGAATGAGTGATTGTTAGTCGCTCACCAGTAGTGCAGGTGCAGGGTGAATGAGTGATTGTTAGTCGCTCACCAGTAATGCAGGTACAGGGTGAATGAGTGATTGTTACTCGCTCACCAGTAATGCAGGTGCAGGGTGAATGAGTGCTTGTTAGTCGCTCACCAGTAGTGCAGGTGCAGGGTGAATGAGTGATTGTTAGTCGCTCACCAGTAGTGCAGGTGCAGGGTGAATAAGTGATTGTTACTCGCTCACCAGTAGTGCAAGTGCAGGGTGAATGAGTGATTGATAGTCGCTCACCAGTAGTGCAGGTGCAGGGTGAATGAGTGATTGTTACTCGCTCACTAGTAGTGCAGGTACAGGGTGAATAAGTGATTGTTACTCGCTCACCAGTAGTGCAGGTGCAGGGTGAATGAGTGATTGTTAGTCGCTCACCAGTAGTGCAGGTGCAGGGAAAGTGATTGTTAGTCACTCACCAGTAGTGCAGGTGCAGGGTGAATAAGTGATTGTTACTCGCTCACCAGTAGTGCAGGGTGAATGAGTGATTGTTAGTCGCTCACCAGTCGTGCAGGTGCAGGGTGAATGAGTGATTGTTAGTCGCTCACCAGTAGTGCAGGTGCAGGGTGAATGAGTGATTGTTAGTCGCTCACCAGTAGTGCAGGTGCAGGGTGAATGAGTGATTGTTAGTCACTCACCAGTAGTGCAGGTGCAGGGTGAATAAGTGATTGTTACTCGCTCACCAGTAGTGCAGGTGCAGGGTGAATGAGTGATTGTTAGTCGCTCACCAGTAGTGCAGGTGCAGGGTGAATGAGTGATTGTTACTCGCTCACCAGTAGTGCAGGTGCTGTGTGAATAAGTGATTGTTACTCGCTCACCAGTAGTGCAGGTGCAGGGTGAATGAGTGATTGTTACTCGCTCAACAGTAGTGCAGGTGCAGGGTGAATGAGTGATTGTTACTCGCTCACCAGTAGTGCAGGTGCAGGGTGAATGCGTGATTGTTAGTCGCTCACCAGTAATGCAGGTGCAGGGTGAATGAGTGATTGTTAGTCGCTCACCAGTAATGCAGGTGCAGGGTGAATGAGTGATTGTTACTCGCTCACCAGTAGTGCAGGGTGAATGAGTGATTGTTAGTCGCTCACCAGTAGTGCAGGTGCAGGGTGAATGAGTGATTGTTAGTCGCTCACCAGTAATGCAGGTACAGGGTGAATGAGTGATTGTTACTCGCTCACCAGTAATGCAGGTGCAGGGTGAATGAGTGATTGTTAGTCGCTCACCAGTAATGCAGGTGCAGGGTGAATGAGTGATTGTTAGTCGCTCACCAGTAGTGCAGGTGCAGGGTGAATGAGTGATTGTTAGTCGCTCACCAGTAGTGCAGGTGCAGGGTGAATGAGTGATTGTTAGTCGCTCACCAGTAGTGCAAGTGCAGGGTGAATGAGTGATTTTAGTCACTCACCAGTAGTGCAGGGTGAATGAGTGATTGTTAGTCGCTCACCAGTAGTGCAGGGTGAATGAGTGATTGTTAGTCGCTCACCAGTAGTGCAGGTGCAGGGTGAATGAGTGATTGTTAGTCGCTCACCAGTAGTGCAGGTGCAGGGTGAATGAGTGATTGTTAGTCGCTCACCAGTAGTGCAGGTGCAGGGTGAATGAGTGATTGTTAGTCGCTCACCAGTAGTGCAGGTGCAGAGTGAATGAGTGATTGTTAGTCGCTCACCAGTAGTGCAGGTGCAGGGTGAATGAGTGATTGTTAGTCGCTCACCAGTAGTGCAAGTGCAGGGTGAATGAGTGATTTTAGTCGCTCACCAGTAGTGCAGGGTGAATGAGTGATTGTTAGTCGCTCACCAGTAGTGCAGGGTGAATGAGTGATTGTTAGTCGCTCACCAGTAGTGCAGGTGCAGGGTGAATGAGTGATTGTTAGTCGCTCACCAGTAGTGCAGGTGCAGAGTGAATGAGTGATTGTTAGTCGCTCACCAGTAGTGCAGGTGCAGGGTGAATGAGTGATTGTTAGTCGCTCACCAGTAGTGCAGGTGCAGGGTGAATGAGTGATTGTTAGTCGCTCACCAGTAGTGCAGGTGCAGGGTGAATGAGTGATTGTTAGTCGCTCACCAGTAGTGCAGGTGCAGGGTGAATGAGTGATTGTTACTCGCTCACCAGTAGTGCAGGTGCAGGGTGAATGAGTGATTGTTAGTCGCTCACCAGTCGTGCAGGTGCAGGGTGAATGAGTGATTGTTACTCGCTCACCAGTAATGCAGGTGCAGGGTGAATGAGTGATTGTTACTCGCTCACCAGTAGTGCAGGCGCTTCGTGCCGGACGCGTCGAGGTAGCCCGAGTAGTGGCGGAAGGCCGGCTGCTTGGCCAGGCCGGGCAGGTAGGAGATCTCATCCTCCACAGGCGCCGCCAGCACCAGCACGCCCGCCCCCCCCAGCAGGAGCAGCAGTAGCAGCATCGTCATCCTATTGACAAGGGCACGACTGTCACACGCGGAGAAAGCGCGGGGCTCCGTGTTATTTCGTGGCGACTCACGCACTGCCTGCTGGTTCACTCTGGCATTCTCCAATAATTCACAAGACTCCGCCAGCGATATCATCTTTCCGCCAGAGATCTGGCGTCAGACGTGGTTAGGGGCCTTCCATCGAGTACGTACGCATGGAGGGGGGAGGGGGGTTAACCAAAATGCGTTCGATTGCGTATGGGGGGTCTACTGACTACGCAAAGCAAATGGGGGGGGGGGGGGGGGTATGAAGCCTCGATAATAATTGGCCTACATTGGCCTTCAAATGAGTTAGATAGTCCGGCGGTGGACTATCTGTTTGCTTAAACACATTAATATTAATTGTTAATCCTTGATCGTTTCTGCGTGGATTAAATATCGGCCGTTCTATAGGAAACAGGGGGGGGGGGGTGCGTCAGGCGAACCTACGCAGGTGGGGGGGGGGGTAAAAAGTCCGCGTGAGTACAGGGAGGGGGTGAGGGGTCAAGTTGACAGATTTTTGCGTACCTACTAAATGGATGGCCCCTGAGTACAGGAAAGTCCGCACTCCAAGGACTAGGCTGCCGAGTGTTCATGGTTGCCTGGTGTTGTTGACCACAGGGTGCCGTCTCTGCACGGACCCAGAGAGCCCAAGCTCCGAAGCTCGTAGCCCTAACCCCAACTTCCCTAACCCATTCCCGAAGCCCACAGCTCTAGCCCTAGTCCCACACAACACTAGGCCGCTCGTGCCGCCCGCTGTAGCAGCACGCCGCGTGTAGCCCCAGTGGATCCCAGCACACAACACGGCCGAGCGGTACACAGCGACAGACGACGTCGCGCAAGGCGCCGCAGCACGGCGTCTCCGAGCAACAGGCGCTGCCCTCGCACCTGAAGCAGTAGCAGCCAGAGAGTCGCCGGGTCCACAGTGGAAGCCGGGGCAGCAGCGGCCCCAGTCAGCTGATCTGCGGTCACGTGATATGAGCCACACGCGAGTCAGCTGATCTGCGGTCACGTGATATGAGCCACACGCGAGTCAGCTGATTTACCGAGCGATAGTCGCTCTGCGTTCACGCCTGGTGATTGACGCGTCACCTCAACAGTGGGCGGCTGTGATTGTCACTCTGTGTGTGTGAGGGTCACTCTGTGTGAGGGTCACTCTGTGTGTGAGGGTCACTCTGTGTGTGTGAGGGTCACTCTGTGTGAGGGTCACTCTGTGTGAGGGTCACTCTGTGTGAGGGTCACTCTGTGTGAGGGTCACTCTGTGTGTGTGAGGGTCACTCTGTGTGAGGGTCACTCTATGTGTGAGGGTCACTCTGTGTGTGTGAGGGTCAGTCTGTGTGAGGGTCACTCTGTGTGAGGGTCAGTCTGTGTGTGAGGGTCAGTCTGTGTGTGTGAGGGTCACTCTGTGTGAGGGTCACTATGAGGGTCACTCTGTGTGTGTGTGAGGGTCACTCTATGTGTGTGAGGGTCACTCTGTGTGAGGGTCACTCTGTGTGTGTGAGGGTCACTGTATGTGTGTGAGGGTCACTGTGTGTGAGGGTCACTCTGTGTGTGTGAGGGTCACTCTGTGTGTGTGAAGGGCACTGTGTGAGGGTCACTGTGTGTGAGGGTCACTGTGTGAGGGTCACTCTGTGTGTGAGGGTCACACTGTGTGTGTGAGGGTCACTATGAGGGTCACTCTGTGTGTGTGAGGGGCACTGTGTGAGGGTCACTGTGTGAGGGTCACTGTGTGTGTGAGGGTCACTCTGTGTGTGTGAGGGTCACTCTGTGTAAGTGTCACTCTGTGTGTGAGGGTCACTGTGTGTGTGAGTCACTGTGTGAGGGTCACTGTGTGTGTGTGAGGGTCACTCTGTGTGTGAGGGTCACTGTGTGTGTGAGGGTCACTGTGTGTGTGTGAGGGTCACTCTGTGTGTGTGAGGGTCACTCTGTGTGAGGGTCACGGTGTGTGTGAGGGTCACTCTGTGTGTGAGGGTCCCGGTGTGTGTGAGGGTCACTGTGTGTGAGGGTCACTGTGTGAGGGTCACTCTGTGTGTGTGAGGGTCACTGTGTGTGTGAGGGTCACACTGTGTGTGTGCGAGTCACTATGAGGGTCACTCTGTGTGTGTGTGAGCGATAGTGTAGCGGTTAGCGCGCTGCGCTAGAAACCTGCCGACCCGGGTTCGATTCCCGCTCACGGCCAACACCAGTGACGATTATCTGAACCGGTCCCGGGCCTCCCCTAGGTCGACTCAGCCTCAAATGAGTACCTGGTGCGGTGAGTAAACATCGCGACTAGGGAGACAAAGGCGGTCGGGCGTGGTGCTGGCCACCCACCCCCTCGTGTACCGTTTCGCCCTTCATAGGTGCTCGCTAACAGCACTTGCCCCTACAGTCTGTTAAGGCTATATGGGGGATCTTTGTATCTTTGTTGTGTGAAGGTCACTCTGTGTGAGGGTCACTGTGTGTGTGTGTGAAGGTCACTGTGTGTGTGTGAGGGTCACTCTGTGTGTGTGTGAGGGTCACTCTGTGTGTGAGGGTCACTCTGTGTGTGTGAGGGTCACTCTGTGTGAGGGTCAGTGTGTGTGTGAGGGTCAGTGTGTGTGTGAGGGTCAGTGTGTGTGTGAGGGTCAGTGTGTGTGTGAGGGTCAGTGTGTGTGTGAGGGTCAGTCTGTGTGTGTGAGGGTCACTCTGTGTGAGGGTCACTCTGTGTGAGGGTCACTTTGTGTGTGAGTCACTCTGTGTGTGAGTCACTCTGTGTGTGAGTCACTCTGTGTGTGAGTCACTGTGTGAGGGTCACTGTGTGTGTGTGAGGGTCACTTTGTGAGGGTCACTGTGTGTGTGTGAGGGTCACTCTGTGTGAAGGTCACTGTGTGTGTGAGGGTCACTGTGTGTGTGTGAGGGTCACTCTGTGTGTGTGAGGGTCACTCTGTGTGTGTGAGGGTCACTCTGTGTGTGTGAGGGTCACTCTGTGTGAGGGTCACGTTGTGTGTGAGGGTCACTCTGTGTGTGAGGGTCCCGGTGTGTGTGAGGGTCACTGTGTGTGTGAGGGTCACTCTGTGTAAGGGTCACTCTGTGTGTGTGAGGGTCACTGTGTGTGAGGGTCACTATGTGTGTGATGGTCCCTCTGTGTGTGTGTGAGGGTCACTCTGTGTGAGTCACTGTGTGTGAGAGTCACTCTGTGTGTGAGAGTCACTCTGTGTGTGTGAGGGTCACTGTGTGTGAGGGTCACACTGCGTGTGTGAGAGTCACTCTTTGTGTGAGAGTCACTGTATGAGAGTCACTGGGTGAGGGTCACTCTGTGTGAGGGTCACTGTGTGAGGGTCACTGTGTGTGTGTGAGGGTCACTCTGTGTGAGGGTCACTGTGTGTGAGGGTCACTGTGTGTGAGGGTCACTCTGTGTGTGTGAGGTTCACTCTGTGTGTGAGGGTCACTCTGTGTGTGTGAGGGTCACTGTGTGAGGGTCAGTGTGTGTGAGGGTAAGTGTGTGTGAGGGTCACTCTGTGTGAGGGTCACTCTGTGTGTGTGAGGGTCACTGTGTGAGGGTCAGTGTGTGTGAGGGTCAGTGTGTGTGAGGGTCACTCTGTGTGAGGGTCACTGTGAGGGTCACTCTGTGTGAGGGTCACTCTGTGTGTGTGAGGGTCACTCTGTGTGAGGGTCACTCTGTGTGAGGGTCACTGTGAGGGTCACTCTGTGTGAGGGTCACTCTGTGTGAGGGTCACTGTGAGGGTCACTCTGTGTGAGGGTCACTCTGTGTGAGGGTCACTCTGTGTGAAGGTCACTGTGTGTGTGAGGGTCACTGTGTGTGTGAGGGTCACTCTGTGTGTGTGAGAGTCACTCTGTGTGTGTGAGAGTCACTCTGTGTGAGGGTCACTCTGTGTGTGAGGGTCACTCTGTGTGTGTGAGGGTCAGTCTGTGTGAGGGTCACTCTGTGTGAGGGTCAGTGTGTGTGTGAGGGTCAGTCTGTGTGTGTGAGGGTCACTCTGTGTGAGGGTCACTCTGTGTGAGGGTCACTTTGTGAGGGTCACTCTGTGTGTGTGAGTCACTGTGTGAGGGTCACTGTGTGTGTGTGAGGGTCACTCTGTGTGAAGGTCACTGTGTGTGTGAGGATCACTGTGTGTGTGTGAGGGTCACTCTGTGTGTGTGAGGGTCACTGTGTGAGGGTCACTCTGTGTGAGGGTCACTTTGTGAGGGTCACTCTGTGTGTGTGAGTCACTGTGTGAGGGTCACTGTGTGTGTGTGAGGGTCACTCTGTGTGAAGGTCACTGTGTGTGTGAGGGTCACTGTGTGTGTGCGAGGGTCACTCTGTGTGAGGGTCACTGTGTGAGGGTCACTCTGTGTGTGAGGGTCCCGGTGTGTGTGAGGGTCACTGTGTGTGAGTCACTGTGTGAGGGTCACTGTGTGTGTGAGGGTCACTCTGTGTGAGGGTCACTATGAGGGTCACTCTGTGTGAGGGTCACTCTGTGTGTGTGAGGGTCACTCTGTGTGAGTGTCACTCTGTGTGTGAGGGGCACTGTGTGAGGGTCACTGTGTGTGAGGGTCACTGTGTGTGAGGGTCACTGTGTGAGGGTCACTCTGTGTGTGTGAGGGTCACTGTGTGTGTGAGGGTCACTCTGTGTGTGTGAGGGTCACTCTGTGTGAGTGTCACTCTGTGTGTGAGGGTCACTGTGTGTTAGGGTCACTGTGTGTGAGGGTCACTCTGTGTGTGTGAGGGGCACTGTGTGAGGGTCACTGTGTGTGAGGGTCACTGTATGTGAGGGTCACTCTGAGTGAGGGTCACTGTGTGTGTGAGGGTCACTCTGTGTGTGAGGGTCACTCTGTGTGTGTGTGTGAGGGTCACTCTGTGTGAGTCACTGTGTGTGAGAGTCACTCTGTGTGTGTGGGTCACTCTGTGTGTGTGAGGGGCACTGTGTGAGGGTCACTGTGTGAGGGTCACTCTGTGTGTGTGAGGGTCACTGTGTGTGTGAGGGTCACTGTGTGTGAGGGTCACTCTGTGTGTGTGAAGGGCACTGTGTGAGGGTCACTGTGTGTGAGGGTCACTGTGTGAGGGTCACTCTGTGTGTGAGGGTCACACTGTGTGTGTGAGGGTCACTATGAGGGTCACTCTGTGTGTGTGAGGGGCAGTGTGTGAGGGTCACTGTGTGTGAGGGTCACTGTGTGTGTGAGGGTCACACTGTGTGTGAGGGTCACTATGAGGGTCACTCTGTGTGAGGGTCACTCTGTTTGTGTGAGGGTCACTCTGTGTGTGTGAGGGTCACTCTGTGTGAGTGTCACTCTGTGTGTGAGGGTCACTGTGTGTGAGGGTCACTGTGTGTGAGGGTCACTCTGTGTGTGTGAGGGGCACTGTGTGAGGGTCACTGTGTGTGAGGGTCACTGTGTGTGAGGGTCACTGTGTGAGGGTCACTCTGTGTGTGTGAGGGTCACTGTGTGTGTGAGGGTCACACTGTGTGTGTGAGAGTCACTATGAGGGTCACTCTGTGTGTGTGTGAGCGATAGTGTAGCGGTTAGCGCGCTGCGCTAGAAACCTGCCGACCCGGGTTCGATTCCCGCTCACGGCCAACACCAGTGACGATTATCTGAACCGGTCCCGGGCCTCCCCTAGGTCGACTCAGCCTCAAATGAGTACCTGGTGCGGTGAGTAAACATCGCGACTAGGGAGACAAAGGCGGTCGGGCGTGGTGCAGGCCACCCACCCCCTCGTGTACCGTTTCGCCCTTCATAGGTGCTCGCTAACAGCACTTGCCCCTACAGTCTGTTAAGGCTATATGGGGGATATTTGTATCTTTGTTGTGTGAGGGTCACTCTGTGTGTGTGAGGGTCACTGTGTGTGAGGGTCCCGGTGTGTGTGAGGGTCACTGTGTGTGAGGGTCACTGTGTGAGGGTCACTCTGTGTGTGTGAGGGTCACTCTGTGTGTGTGAGGGTCACTCTGTGTGTGTGAGAGTCACTCTGTGTGAGGGTCACTCTGTGTGTGAGGGTCACGCTGTGTGTGAG